CTGAGAAGTCTGCTGGAAAACAAACCTTTCCTCAAGAAGATGACCTAACAATGCAAACTAAAGCTAAACGTTACTACTATGAAGCACACACTTCACATGAAACTATTCTCTCAGAGGTTAGCACTACTTAATCAAGGCAGAGTATGGGACTTAATGAATCTTTGTCACCAGAAGCCAGAAGCAACAAACATTTGCCTCGCATCAATCTTCCACATTTCAATGGCCAGATTACGAATTGGCCCAAGTTTCGAGATGCCTTCACTTCCATTATCCATAATGATGCCTTATTATCAAAAATGGAGAAATTTCACTATCTCGTCTCTTCTTTAGGGGGAACTGCCTCTGCAGTGATAAGACATCTTCCTTTGGTTGACGACAACTATGATATTGCCTGGAAGGCTTTAAATGAAACTTTCAATAACAAGCGTATGCTTGCTTCAAATTACCTCAATCAATTGATGGCATTCAAACCACAACAGGGGAAAACAACTGTAGATTCACTACAGTCATTTCTTTCTCAAATTTCAGATAATATTGCTGCATTTAAACTTTTGAAAATACCTGACGAAGGTGACTTCATTCTGTTTCATATAGCAGTTAGGCTGTTGGATCATACAACTCGAGAGCAATTTGAGTTGCAGCATAAAGGAAAAGATTTTCCTGTTTTCAATGATTTGACTAAATTTCTCCGTGAACGCTCTCTAGCTCTTCAGTTGGCTGGAGGAAACACACAACAATTGGAGATAAGGCCATCCACTTCTGGGAAGAATAGTGGGAACTTCAAACCATCAAATAGTCATAACTTGAAGACTTCACTCATGTCCAGCTCTTTGCCTAAATCATCGGCTAACTCCGACAGCAATGAGGTATGCTTCATATGCCAAAGGGGGTCTCATGCTCTATTCAAATGCAATAAATTTGCTGATGCATCAGTTGATGATAGACATAAAATGTTGAAGTCTTGGCGTGGATGTAGAAACTGCCTGTCATACTATCACTCAACCAATAGATGCAATTCTAAATGGTCTTGCAAGGTCTGCAAGAAGAGGCATAATTCACTTTTGCATCTACCCGTTCCTGATAGCAACACAACCTCATTGGAACATGAAGATACAACCGCAATCAAGGCTAATGTCGTGAATCCACCAGATTCTGCATTAACAGCAACCCTGCCTGAACAAAGTCAAGTCTTTTTGGGTACAGTTGTTGCTGAAATTCAGGATGTTCATGGCAACTTCACTCAAGTGAGACTCGTAGTGGACTCAGGTAGTCAGCACTCATTCATCACAAAGAAATGTGCAAATAAACTTGGCTTGATAATTAAATCATTCCCTCACAAAATCAGTGCTATTGGCCAGACAGTTTTTAATGGCACTAAAGGCAAAGTACGCTGTCACCTTAAACCACGCAACTTGCAGTCACCTATTGTTGAAACTGAAGCAATAGTCGTAAATAACATTACATCTCACTTACCTAATTTTGTCATGCCCTCCAATATTTGGAAAAATTACGCTACCTTTGACTTAGCTGACCCTAACTTTTGGCAACCAGGTCCTGTAGATTTTCTGCTGGGATCAGATTTGTTCTCAGATATTTGGGATGGATCCACCGTGACAGTACAAGACAACCAGCCAAGGCTATTTTCTTCTATATTTGGTTATATAGTCATAGGACGAGTTTCTGGAACTTGTTTATTATCCGTTGATGGTAACAACTCCTTCTTCACTGTTAACAATGAAGCTCATGACTTGAGACAACAGATCCAACGCTTTTGGGAACTTGAAGAGCCCCATACTGACATTAGTTTCACAAACCCTGAAGACGAAGCATGTGAAGCTCATTTCAAGAACACACACTTCAGGATGGACGATGGTCAATATGTTGTACGCCTACCTTTCAAGACGCCTAGTCCACAATTAGGAAATTTTGAAGGAACATCACTGAAGAGATTCTACAATCTTGAAGGAAAACTTATTAAAGACAAGAATTTGATGTCAGAGTATTATGATTTCATGAAAGACTATCAAGATCTGGGTCACATGAATATCACAACTTCCCCTTCAAAGTATGTCATTCCTCACCACTGTGTGATAAAAGAGGATAGAGGCAAAACAAAGTACGTGTGGTCTTTGACGCTTCTGCTCAGTCATCGCCCTTTCCTTCTTTGAACAGCCAACTCATGGTGGGTGCAAAGCTGCAACAAGACATTAGGGACATTCTTCTGAGATTTCGTTTGCACCCAGTTGTCTTCGTGGCTGATATTGTCAAAATGTATCGGCAAATTTTTATTGGAGATTTGATCCAGCAGACCCAATAAAAAAGAATGAATTATGCACTGTCACGTATGGATTGACTTCTGCACCCTTTCTAGCACTTAGAGTTATGAAGCAACTCGCTTTAGACGAAGGCGAGAACCATCCAAGAGCTGCTCAAGCTATATCGCAGGATATGTATGTGGATGATATAGTGACTGGCACACTTCACTGAATGAAGCCTTGAAGCTTCAACAAGAAACTATCCAATTATTAGAAAAAGGACACTTTTCACTAAGTAAATGGGCGAGTAACCAAGAAGAACTTATAAAAGTGGCCAATTCAGGACAACAAGCAGACTCAGTTAACTTCTCTTCAAACGAAGACTCTAGTGTGAAGATATTAGGACTTCATTGGGATCCAACAAATGATGTCTTCATTTTTAAGCTTCAGGACTTCTCTCCAGCATCTACTAAGCGATCTATCCTATCTACTGTTGCTAAAATATATGACCCTTTAGGATTCCTGGCACCAGTCACATTTTTAGCTAAAGGGATCATGCAGGAGTTATGGAAGCTTGGCTTGAATTGGGATGAAGAAATACCCTTTCATCTAAATCATTTTGGGAAGAGTTCATCAAACAGCTTAGGAATTTGTCAGACCTCACCATACCAAGACTTGTTGTACCCAATAAACCCCTTTCTTATCAACTCGTGGGATTTTCAGATGCATCAGCACAAGGATACTGTAATACACTGTATCTCAGAGTTGTCTGTGAGGACCAAATATCCACACACCTTCTCGTCGCTAAAACTAAATTAGCACCAATCAAAACTGTTTCTATACCCCGTCTTGAATTGTGTGGGGCACATCTTTTAGCTAGACTTCATTCTTCAGTATCCAAGATGTTTTCTCTAAATACTGCAATCAAGTTTGAAGATCCAGTCTTCTTTACCGATGCATCAATTGTATTGAGTTGGCTCCATATGCCACTTTACAAGCTCAAGATTTTCATCTCAAATAGAGTGTCACAAATTACAGAGCTCACATCGTTGTCATGTTGGCGACATGTACGTACGAGTGAAAATCCAAGTGATTGTGGATCAAGAGGATTGTCTGTCGACAAGCTCAAGAACAACAGTTTATGGTGGCATGGTCCCCAATGGCTATGTCAACATGCAGAAGAATGGCCGAAATCAAATGTGGACCTGACATTACAAACTGAACTTCCAGACCTGAAGATTGAACACACTACATTGATGTCTACTGACTCAGAACCTCTCATCATAACCTTCATCTCATCACAATCATCATAATACAAGATCTTGACAGCAATTGCTTGGTGGAAAAGATTTATAACTAATGCAATGGCAAAAATAAATTCTGGTCAAATTCGCATCGGTCCACTACACCCTTCTGAAATGAGGGAAGCTTTAATTTATGTAGTGAATAAGCTTCAGTCACACTACATATTTCAAGACGACACTTGCAACAAGGAAGAAATAGCCAATTCCAAGTTTTCCAACCTCTCTCCATTCTTCGATGAAAATGGCACCCTTAGAGTTGGCGGAAGACTAAACAGAGCTTCACTTCCTTCCGATCAACGACATCCTATTCTGCTGCCAAAGTGTCACTTCACTACTTTGCTTGTGGACTATTATCATAAGCTGTATTTACACCCAGGACCTGGTCTCTTGCAAGCATTAATTCAGCTTCGATTCTGGATACCTGCATTACGAAGTCTCGTTCGTCATCGCACATTCAAGTGTTTGACTTGCTACAAAGACAAGGCAAAGAACCTCACACCCAGAATGGCTGATCTTCCTCCATCAAGAGTAAATCCGAGTAGAGCCTTTCTTCATGTAGGTATCGATTTTGCTGGTCCATTCCCCATGAGAGAATCTCAACGAAGGAAAGCGGCAGTCACTAAAGTCTACCTTTGTGTCTTTGTATGTATGGCTACCAAAGCCGTTCATTTGGAAATCGTCAGTGCGCTGAGTACAGATGCATTTCTGGCTGCTCTCAATAGATTTATTGGTCGCAGAGGACTCCCCGAACAGTGTTACTCAGACTGTGGCACAAATTTTCAAGGAGCTGCTAACAAGTTGAGAGAGTTTGGGTCTTGGTATCGCCAAAAATTGTTTAAATATTAATTGTAACATTTTATTTTCATTTAAGGGTTATTTAATTTTATTTGTTAGCATAATAGTTATTTTCTTTAATACATTTCATTTTGTCATAAATTGTGTTTTGTTATTTTTCACAGCAATCAAGTCTCAGGAATTAGCATAAAATTTCATAAGAGGTTAGAGTTAGGATTTTATTGTTTTAAAAGACCTTAAATTTCCTCTTTGGCTTCAACAACTATATTATTACTTTTAATTTGAATGTTTAATTATGTTTCGAAATGTTTTTTTGTGTATAAGATAAAATATTAACTCTATTTATATGGTGAAAGTTTATTTGTCTTAGGAGTATATTAACTTCCTTGTTTGTAATAAGTTTTTATCATTATTTCCTCACCTATGCCACAGACAAGGGAAACTACCTTAGTCAATGCTTATGCTCACTAAAAATCTGAACTCATATTGAAGTCTTTTCTCTAAATTTTCAACTATATAAAATTAATCTTGTAAATATTTCGTATTCTATGTATTATAATTATCTACTTAAAACTTTCCTCGAATTATTTTTAATTACAAAATCATAACAGTAATGCCTTGCATGTGTATTCGAATGAAAACGATATAAAAGATTGATAATAGTTTATTTATTGTATTATCCATATATTGCATTATGCGCACTCAAAAAAGGTGAGGATTTGGCGTTGTTAAGTTAACCAAAAGTTATTGTTGTTTCAACTTCAACAAGACGAGTTTGGTGCGAATGATCTCCCAAAATCCGGTAACAAAGGGATCAGAACAATCTCCTCTCAGACCTTGATCTACCAAATGTTGTATCACTTTTGACTTAACTTCTTCTCTCACCGGGTAGTAGACTTTGATGAGGGACGGATCCTGTTTTTTCAGAGCTCTCAGTATTTCCATAGTATTTTGCTCATCCATTGTTTCCGTGCAGAGATCCATCAGCTTTTCTGTTAGTGTTCTCGAACTAACTAAGCTGGATATTTGATTCCGATTAAGTGTTTTAACGTTTCTAAGTATGGCTTCGGCAAGTTTCTCAGCTTGTGTAGATAGGACCTAAAAATGTTAACACATAAAACTATTAGTGCCTTGGTTGTTTTTTAAACTGCAATGCCCTTCTTTAAGTTTGAGGGTCCTGAAAAAAATGAGATCCCCAGTAAAAGATAAAAGATTTGATGAAGCAACGCTGTTTAAGGTACATATAGGTTATCTAAGTAAAAATTTCACACAGCGCTCACTGAAATCTACAAGGAAAAGAATTTATCGAATGTTTCACTTTGATAGCAATTTTATATTTGACTGATTTTAATAAATATAAGTTAATTCAATAAGGAAAAACAAGTTGTGCAACGGAGTGCGAAACCATGGTGATGTAATATACTATCATCGCAATGCATTACCATTACTGTACATTCTCGTACTAAACGATACGGGCTCACATGCAGGCCCGAAACCCATGTAATCGTGTCAATACAAGGTTAAAAGTCTTGATAAACTCGTAAATCAAAGAATGTTTACATCTTATAACAATAATTTCTTTTACTGCTTCTCAAGCTAAAAAATTCCACGCATTTCTCATTGTTTTCCATGGTACGTTCTCCCAACGGCACTGGTAATATTTACGAAGAGGATTTCTTTGGATACAAAGTTGATTTAATACTCATCATCTCAGAATATACTTGCCAAAGAGCTAGAATTCATATAATACTAGACTATTTTTATATCGGCTTGCAACTCATAGTCTTACCCCCTGGTCGGGCGTAGTTGCTGCTGTTGATGTTTGTTCCTCCTGTTTTCCACCTCCTGAGCTTCTAAAGCTACCAAAGTTAGATCCACCAGCTGGTTTTCCGGTTTGGTATTGTCGTTGTCTTGTTGGTTCCTTCAAATAAAAAAAAAGATGAGTAAAAAAAGATAAGTATTACTTTTGATAGTTTAACATTACAATATAATTTTTTCTGTTAACTTTGTTAGGCTACGATATGCAATTGTTATAGGTTTCTATCAAAGTATGTGATCATATATTTAATGATCGAAACTGTGCCCAGCTTACTATGACCAAGTAACGATCAAGTAGTTATTGGCTTGAATAAATAATCCTGGCTAATGAAACAGCTGATCTTTGTCAGTAACAAAGCTACACAGATCATCACACACCATTTTACTTTCATCCTTCGTATTTGGGATAAAATCCGCAACTATTTGACCCCTTTATTGCAATTTATAACTATAATAATACAATTCTGCGTATTACCTAGGTTATATTGAGCGATGCAAAGCATAAAGTTTAGTCCATTTAAAACTTTGCCTATCCGTACTATAGAATACAGATTGGAACATCTGGTACAGTATAAAACACTCTAAAGTAGGAATTTTTATTTTATGTTTGGCTTTAATTTTAATAATTTAAGTTGAACAAGCCTAATCTGACCATTACAAATAATAACGTTAATAGTTGTAGAATAAATAGTGTTTGTGAACGAACAATTTATTTAATACTTTTGCCTGCCGCAATTGTTTATACGCATTGTCTACTCAAAGTGTAAAGATCCCTACTATTACTCATCTATTACATAGCTTTCATAAAATCTGTAGGCAATGAATACAATGCCTAGTTATTCTATAAAATGTTTTTATTGTATACTTTGCTGATAGCATAGGCCTACAAAGCGTTCCTACTCAATAACAAAAAGAAGGCTAGCATCTACGTGCGTGACTTTGACTATGCCATTAATTTCGAATGGTGTAATTTGTCCTTGTGGATATTACTCTTAGGCGTGCAAAATAATATTTACAGAAAACTATACCTGTAAGTAGAGGATGTGTCATAAAATGCTACACTCGCAATAAGCATATTCAAGCGTTCACGATTAAGGTTTACAATTTTATTTATTTTACAAAATCATACGTATCACGTAAACAATCATCTTAAATGACTCGTTTATTTTTAACAAATTGTTACTTCATTTATGAAATGAATATAGATTCAAATCAACAAATTAAAAAAATATTATTTAACTGCATTATTAGATATTTATTGTTAAGAAATCTCAGGTTATTTTACGAACTATTATATAAACAGTGTTCGAAAAATTTTGTTTATATCAAATAAGGTTTTATTTGATCATATATGATTACTTTTCGATATGTTGTGCTCCGAAAATGCCTTTCATATGCATTTTTGGTGCACAGCATATCAATATCTTTTTCTTACAGTTACCTGACAAAGTTGGACCCGGGTAGCCATCGCGCATCAAATCAAATCAAATCATTTTATTTGGTTAAAATTGACAATACATATTGCATTAGCTAAGTCATGGTACAAACGTAAATTATTAAAATTATAAAGTTTCCTTATAAAATTATTTACAGTAAGGTATTTACAAACTATAGCTAGACAAAAATAATTTACAAAGCTCAGCTGTCGCTATCTATACGCCAGGGTTTACAGCAGTCCAGTTTCTGTGGTCCAAGAACTCTTGGATGCTGTAACAGGAGATATTATCTAACTGTCTTTTTATGCATCTTTTAAATTTTGAGTGGTCTGATTCCAATTTAAGATAAAGGAGAAGGCTATTATACAGTTTGATGCCATTGTAAAGAGTATGTTTTTTTGAATAAAGATGTAGCATGTTTAGGAATTGGCAGATTATAAATATTTCGAAGTGAATATGGGCAGATGCGGAAGTTTTCTGGAACAGTGAATAGAGGAAGATTTTGTTTGACTAAGGTGAGAGTTTCAGGAATGTATATTAGGAAGAGTTAGGATTTTTGATTCTGAGAATAACTTTCTACATGATTTACGTTTGAGCAGAGATAAAATTGTTCGTACAACCCATTTTTGGAATTTAAATAGAAATTTAGTTTTTAAACTTTCTTAGCCCCATATAGGTATAACATACGCTAAATGAGGATATATCAGTCCGTAATATACAGATATTAGAACTTCGAAGGTAGACGTGTTCTTTAAACTTCGTAGAACAAAAATTCTAGAACTGACTTTTCTTGAAACCTGCTTGATGTGACCTGAGGAATCAAGATGTTTATCTAGTGTCAGTCCCAGAAACCTAACACTGTTAGTTGGATAGCAGTGTCTGTTGTGTCGTCCAGAAGTAGGCTGAATCCATTAGAGGGTCTCTTTGAAATAGAAAAGTGCAAAAGTTGGGGTTTTTCGGCGTTGACGGAGAGAAAGTTGGAATCAAACCACTCTATTAAGTTACTGGCTTCCCGAAAAGTAGTAAACTCCAAGCTTTCAATGTTGTGGCTGGAAATGGAGAGTGAGGTGTCAGCAATAGTGTTGGTTTGGCGGTTGATATGCAAGATGGAAGGGTGTTAATGAAGAGTAGGAATAGGGTAGGTCCTAAAACAGAGTCCTGAGGCACCCCTCTCAAAATGACGGTTTTATCAGAGGAATAAGAGCGAATGAACCTGGTCTCATCTACAGCCTGGATCTCTACATACTGTGTTCTGCCGCACAGGTAGGAAGTAAACCAACTCAAGGCTACTCCTCGTATGCCCACTCTACTCATTCTTTCCAACAGTAGGTTGTGATTGACCGTATCAAACGCCTTTCTCAGATCGAAAAATATTCCTGCAGAATAGTTTTTGGAATCAAGATCGCTTACAACTCCATTAATGAGGTTAAACATAGCAGGTAAGGTGGACTTTCCTTTTAAGAAACCATGCTGTTTTGAGGTGATAATATCATCGATTTCCAGAAAAAAAATTGGTCCTGAAAAAAAAATGATCCCCGGTAAAAGATAAAATATTTGATGAAGCAACGCTGTTTAAGGGACATATACGTTATCAAAGTAAAAATTTCACACAGCGCTCACTGAAATCTACAAAGAAAAGAATTTAGCTAATGTTTCACTTTGATAGCAATTTTATATTTGACTGATTTTTAAGAAATATAAGTTAACTCAATAAGGAAAAACAAGTTGTGCAATGGAGTGTGAAACCATGGCGATGTAATATACTATCATCGCAATGCATTACCATTACTGTACAAACGATACGGGCTCACATGCAGGCCCGAAACCCATGCAATCGGGTCAATACAAGGTTAAAAGTCTTGATAACCTCGTAAATCAAATAATGTTTACATCTTATAACAATAATTTCTTTTACTGCTTCTCAAGCTAAAAGATTCCACGCATTTCTCGTTGTTTTCCATGGTACGTTCTCCCAACGACACTAGTAATATTTACGAAGAGGATTTCTTTGGATACAAAGTAGATTTAATACTTATCATCTCAGAATATACTTGCCAAAGATCTAGAATTCATATAATACTAGACTATTTTTATGTCGGCTTTCAACTCATAGTCTTACCCCCTGGTGGGACGTAGTTGCTGCTGTTGATGTTTCTTCCTCCTGTTTTCCACCTCCTGACCTTCCGAAGCTACCAAAGTTAAAACCACCAGCTGGTTTTCTTGTTTGGTATTGTTGTCTTGCTGTTTCCTTCAAATAAAAAAAATATGAGTAAAAAAAAGATAAGTATTACTTTTGACAGTTTAACATTACAATATAATTTTTTCAGTTAACTTTGTTAGACTACGATATGTAATTGTTATAGGTTTTCATTAAAGTATGTGATCATATATTTAATGATCCTTTAGTATTTGGGTTAAAATACGCACCTAGTTGACCCCTTTATTGCAATTGATAACAATACAAATTCAATTCTGCGTATTACCTAGGTTATATTGAGCCATGCAAAGCATAAAGTTTAGTCCATTTAAAACTTTGCCTATCCGTACTATAGAACACAGATTGGAACTTCTGGTACAGTATAAAACACTCTAAAGTAGGACTTTATATTTTTTGTTTGGCTTTAATTAAAATAATATAAGTTGAACAAGCCTTATCTGACCATTACAATACTATTTGTACTAAGTGTATTTGTGCATTAAGTGTATTTTGTACTATTTGTACTATTTGTGTATTTACTACGTTACTTAATAGTTGTAGAGTAAATAGTGTTTGTGAACAAACAATTTATTTAATACTTTGCCTGCCGCAACTGGTTATACCTACACAATGCCTATTCAAAGTGTAAAGATTCCTACTATTACTCATCTATTACATCAGTTTTCATAAAATCTTGAGGAAATGTATCATAATAAAACACCATTGCAATACGTTTATGCAATGAGGCTATATCTCATTATATACTTTGCTGATAGCATAGGCCTACAAAGCGTTCCTACTCAATAACAAAAAGAAGGCTAGCATCTACGTGCGTGACTTTGACTATGCCTTTAATTTCGAATGGTGTAATTTGGCCTTGTGGATATTACTCTTAGGCGTGCAAAATAATATTTACAGAAAACTATACCTGTTATAGCAGTTAAGGTGGACTTTCCTTTTAAGAAACCATGCTGTTTTGAGGTGATAATATCATTGATTTCCAGAAACTTACAAAGCCGCAGATTCATAGCTTTCTCTAAGACCTTAGAGAATACAGAAATAATCGATATCGGTCTGTAGCTATTGCAAACCATGGCTACACTACATACCCCCTATCAGAGGAATAAGAGAAGTGTTTTTAGTGACTTATTGAGTTTTTGGGTGTTATTGAGTGTTTTTATTGAGTTTGTTGTTTTTAGTTTTTAGTGTTTAGTGAATAAGTTTTTAGAGTTTTAGATATTTTATATTTGGTTAAGTTGACAGTTTAATATGGAACTTTTTGGGTTTGTCGCTGTTATCCTTTCTTAAATATTGGTCTAACTACTGACTCCCTTAGACGCTCAGGGAATTTTCCACTACTTAAAGAGTAGTTAATTAGATGGCACAATGGCTTGAGCAGATGATTAGATACTTTTTTAAGCAAAACAGAACTTATCTCATCGACACCTGAGCTTTTTTTTGTTTTTTAAATTGTTTACTATGGACTTAACTTCTTCCTTCGTTACACGATACAGAAAAAGAGAATCCATATGTTGTCTTATGTTTTAATTGGTGTTTCCTTGACTTAGGGGTGTTTTAACATGCCCTTCAATGTTAGAGAAGAAATCGCAAAATTCAGTACAAATGTTGTCCGGACTTGTGATTTGCTCACCATTGTCACGCTCTGTAACTAACTTTCATTTGGATTCGTTTTTTGAATATTTTTTTGTTTTTATAATATCCCAAATAGCTTTTTTATTATCAGAATTCTCCATTTTATGTAAGTTGTTTTTTGACTTAATTTCTTGAATTATACGTCTGTATTGGCATTTCAGTATTCTATAATGTGAGCTAGCATGAGATGAATCTAGATTTTTAACTTCACAGTAAAGATGAAAGAGTAGATTTTTCAGTTTAAGGACATTATCTGTAAGAATTATCTCGTTGACTCTCTTCTTTTGGATCTTTTTGCTGGTTTTTGGTATTGAGACATTAAAGGAATAGATTATCTTGTCCATGAATTTATTAAATTTTGTGTCTAAATCTACAGCACCATAGACTTTTTCCCAATTTTCTTTGGAGATAAGATGTTCAAATAATGTTGTGTTAAATAATGTTGTGTTTGCATTAGAATAAGTTCTTGAATATTGGTACTGAGCTTTAGGTAAAGTTAGGACAGAGCTGAGGTGAAATTTTAACAGACTTTTGACAAAACTTGTTTCCAAGTCAAAACGAATAATACAATACTTTTTACCTTTCAAGGATTATGTTTGCTCACGATTGTTATTAGGTGAACAAAATTAATTACTAATTTAACATAGATAATTTGATAGCAGATCGTTATCATAAAGAGTTAATTATCTACCTGAATCTGTTACAAATCACAAAAAGAAGCCTAAGCTATTTAAATTATTTTTCATAAACTACCGTACGTACTTTTTTTCCTCTTGTAGACAATCTTATGGTAAATCGTCAAACTGTATTTCGGCTGTTATATTAGTTTACGCAACGATCGCGTTAATATAGTGTTAATGACACGAGTAGAAATTTAAGGTACAAGCCTTGGCAGTGCAAAAAGTGTCGTTAAGACTATTTACGTGGGTCACGTTCGCTACTTTACCTACGACAGTCTTAATTACCACAGTTACTACAATAACCGGTACTTACGTATTAAACGGAGGCCACATATTTTACAGCGCGCTGCAGCGGTTATGTTAGGTTGGGTTATCATAAATATATGTTTTTTTTATCAAATTAAACTATCTTAACCTAACCTAACCAACCAAACTTGCTGATGGTGAAGGTTTACTAATCGAATCGAATCTGTAGGTTAGGTGGCCTCCGTTTAATACGTAAGTACCCAATAACCTTCTAAGAGAGTTTATGTTTTCGTTTATAACCTCCCATTGCCACGAACAGTGATGCGACAAATCAAACAATAATCACACAAATCATTAACAATTAAATTGGCCTTAACAGCTGATTTGTTCGAGGCATTACAATTTTACTTCTTTTCTTTCAGTCCTTGGACCTCATTGGACCGTTTCTCGTGTTGTTAAGTAAAGAACGATGCTGTACCTATGCAAATACTGTATGTATATGATTTCATACCAAGTAAATTAGTATGTCAATTGTTCCGTATTCAAGCGCTACCTAGATATTTCCAGACGTTTCATATCATACAATAACCTTTGTCCTGTCACGTGATGTCTGGAAACCCCAATCTCGCCCCAGTTCTCTTGCATTCATGCAACTACTAACATGTCCCCGGCACAATTAACTCCCAATTGCTGCTCTCATCTCTTAACCCCAAAGTATATTTAATTATTATTAGTGACACATATTAAAAGTAAAAGTGAACTATTGAACATTTGTGAAGTGAAACACTACTACTGCCGGTCCGGGTCTGTGTACGAGCAATACGCAATAGCTGGCCAGCAGAAGAAACTCGTGTACGTCTACCGGCTTCGTCTTCTCAACACTTCAGTTAAAAGGAAGGTACCTCATCAATCTCATTATTGTCTGTTAATTAATTAGTGACAATTTTTTAATATTGCTCTTTCACTATACAGTCCATTTGAACATTTTTAGGCAAGTTTACCCCCCATCCGCTGGTCCTGTCGAGTCGGACGAAAATCTTATCATTAATAATATATTGTGCTTTTATTAGCCTAGCTACTGTAACTGTTAAAATTGTACAACTAAACTCTAAAAAGTGTCACTTCTCTAAATAATTAGAGCAGCATTTGTATTCCCCATTACAAGTTTTGGTGAATAAATAATATTTTATTCCATTCCCCTGTGCCATCTCAGACGTGAATATTTCATGTTAGTTTCATGCTCATGTCCTCCCACTGCTACATGAATCACGTCATATTTCCTTTCAACTAGTTATTTGAAATCAGGAATTAGTTAGGATATTTAATATTTTCTCTAAAGTTTCTCAATCAATTCACCATATCAATTATTGTCATTAACAATAATTTTTGTCTGCACTTTGTTTCGTCCTTAATTTTCTAACATATTTTCACTTATCAGAAAGTCAGCCATTTTATATTTTCTGTCCTTGCGATGCACCTTGGTAGCGAACTTCTCCACTAGAGCGCTCTGCCTACAGTCTGCACGTCGCAAGAACCAATGAGCGTCGAGATTCGTAAAACAGAATAAATCGCCCAATGATATTGCTTCTTCAAATTGATCATATGTAAAACCATAGATGAAGTATTATATTACTTCATCTATGGTAAAACTCTGTTTCAAGCACAGGAAATCAGCTGACTGAATATAAAACACACTCCAGCTACATACAGCTGTGTGAATTGAATCAAAATATAAACGTAACCTTCAAGTTTATTTACATCTTGGAAAATATTGTTTTGTGTGAATATTAAACGAAATATTAGTGGTTGAATCGATTCTTGTCTACATTAAGGATATTGCTCATAATAAATACTTCCCTACTCAATTTATTCTGCGAAAATACTGATTCAAATGAAATGACTTGTGTTTAATAGACTTTACTTTTATTTACTATGTCTATCTTGGGTCTGATGGTAAAGTGAAATATAATTTTACATTCATTATTTCTTATAGAGTGAATGTAAATGAATTGATTTATTCTGAGCTATTAATTTGCATTATTGTTAGGTCTAAGACTTGGAGTTATTTTGATATTTAGGTGTTGGTGAATATTTACGTAGGCCTAAACTTATGATAAACTTAGGCCTATAGCTTACTCTTTTGATTACATAAATGGTCTGTTAAAATGAGATTCTCTACACTAGAGAAAAAGGCAAAACTTGTCAAAAATAGGCTTCAGAAAATAAGCAAGTTTGTGTCAGCCCAAATTACTCTCTCAGAAACTCAATCATTAAATGTTGTTTCCATTCAGCGCTTACACAACTATGATGATGAAGTTAGAGGTTTATTCTCTGATTTTAAAGCTTTATTCGATAAAGTGGTTTATGATGATCCTGGTTCTGATTATGACGAAACTGAAGCATGCTCTATGCAAGATGAAATTTCGGACTTGTACATTTCTCTGATTAGTGACTTGAAAATAGTGTTACCTGCTAAAACTAAAGAAGTAACACCTCCCACCCAACCATCTCTGCGACTGCCCAAATTTGAGTTGCCCAAATTCAGCGGTAACTACGAAGAATGGGTTAGCTACTACAATATTTTTGAGGCTTCTATTAATAGGAATGAAACTTTGGCCCCTGTGAGTAAGTTCCAATATCTGCTTAGTTCTTTAAGTGGTGAACCCTTAGATTTAGTAAAGAGCTTAAGCATAACTGCAGAAAACTTTGATGTTGCACTTAGGCTGCTTAAGGATCGCTATGATAACAAAAGGCGTGTTGTAACTCAGCTTGTTACAAAAATCATTGATTTGCCATGCATATGTAGTGGTTCTCTCAAAAGTCTCCAACATTTTCTCACAGTTTATAAAGAGAACACACAAGTTTTGAAAAATCTCAACCATGACATAACAGCTGAAAATACTCTGCTTGTCCTAACGCTTTTGAAAAAGTTACCTACTGATTTAAGAAAATCTTTTGAGGATTCTCGCATCACAAACAATGACATACCTGCAGTAAATGATCTAATTCAATTCCTTGAAAGAGAATTTAAACGATTAGAAGGAGCTAGTATCGGTCTTGGTCCCTCAGCTAACACAAGATACCCTTCAGTGCAAAAGACTCAATCTAATAGTTATAGCCTAAACCTCTTCGAGATAGTAAACCTTACTCCTCTCAAGCTAAAACAGCTTTCGTCACAGTGACTAACACTTGTGAGTTTTGTCAAGCATCTGATCACAATATATACAAGTGTCAAGCCTTTCAGGCTAAAAGTAGAGGTGATAGAGTTGAATTCACTTGTAAAAATAATCTATGCGCCAACTGCGCTAGATATAACTAAAATATATGTTCTGTATATTTTAGTTAGTAAAGACCTAAAATAGCCGTATTTTGTAATTGTTAATTACTACGATACATTGTATCAATGTTAATATTCAAGTGTTTTAAGTGTGTAAATATTAACACGGATTATCACTTACCGGATTAGGATAAGATTGTTCCCGCGAACCTCCCGAAGACGTACTACCAGGCAATGGTGTAGAAGGCACTGCGGTTGCGGGTTTGTCCTGGAATATTTATAAAACTGCAATATCCTTATGGCTTCAAAATATTTTCTAGAAACTTAGGCAAAAGTTAGCGCTTTTTTCTTTTCTTTTCTTGTTACACCTTATCTTATATGGTATTTTATTTTTATTTTAACGTCATGGCAATACGTCTTATTGCAGCTTTTCTAATAAGTTACATAAACGTATTTCATAGTCGTGTGTACAATAATCTATAGGCAGGTTACGAGATCCTAATGCAGACACTCCGAATATAATAACCTGAAGAATACCTAAATTATCAAATACCTCAAAATTATCAAACTTGTGTTTTTATGATATAAATACCAAGGTTTCTAAATCCCTAATACCGTTCAAAGGGAACACGTCACTTGGTTGAAAGAAACATAACCATTATAACGTTTATAACCACGTTTATTTTAATTCGTTTTTTAATTATGTAGGCCTATCTCAGTTTTGTGTGCAAATGGATGTTTTTGTTTGACTTTATTCCATTACCTGTTGTTGAACTTTAACTTAATTATTTTCACTTTTGTATTAATCAGGCTAATTTGTAATAATAAGACAATATCAAATATCTAACAAAGAAAAGTCTCGGTATGCCGATGTCAGTAACTAAATAATACTTTATGGTTCAAAACCAAACCCAGTTATTTCTGGGTTTTAAAATAAATAGATCATGACTGATGAAACAGCTGATCTTAGTCAGTAACAGAGCTACACATCTTACACCATTCTACACTCATCCTTCACTCATATTTGGGTTAAAATACGCACCTAGAACCCATCTCAAATAATTGAAATTATTTATAATTGCTTTTTCGTCGTAAGTTTCCAAGTTTTCTTATAAATTGTAATGTTCTTATACCATTTTTTTTAAACCGAATCAAATAAAATTGAAAGAAATAAAGTTGACAGTTTAATATGGAATTTAACCTTGATTTTGTTGGGTAAGTTTATTACAATATAACATTTAAAAACCTGTTAGCAGTAAAGACTCAGTAACACTATTTATGATCACTGTTGAAGTTCAGATGAAAAATCCTACTAATATTATAAATGAGAAAGTTTGGATGTATGGATGTATGGATGTATGTTTGTGACAAGTGAACGCGAAAAATACTGGTCGGATTGGGCTGAAATTTGGCATGATGATAGCTCACATTCCCGATTAACATATAGGCATATTCTTATTTCAAAAATCCTTTCGGGCTCCGCCCCATTGGCTCTGGAGTTTCCCATGTTAACCTTATGAGAAATGGAATTATTGAATCTTAACAGCTGTTTCAATTAAACAAGTTGGTTCTGTTCTATGATGTTCAATAGCATTAAAGTTACAAGGATTACCATCAGGGTGCAGCACTATTATTTCTTTTACATTTTTGACAACAGCTAATTTGCAACCAAAAGGTGAGTGAGCGTAGCGAACGAACTTAAACCTGGAGGCGAGTTAGCGTAGCGAACGAGCTAACCTGAAGGCAAGTGAGCCCAGCGAACGAGCTCCAACCTAAAGGTGAGTGAGCGTAGCGAACAAACTTCAACCAAAACGTGATTGAGCCATGCGAACGAGATAATCTTGAAAATTAAGAAGTTAAACGGGGCAAAGCCCGCGGGTTACAGCTAGTATCTAAATAGTCCGTGACTAGTGCTGCTGCCTAGCAACGCATTGAACGAATAGGTTGTCGCGCCGTCGGGTGGATGCACCTTATTAGCAATTGTTGACTTCAGCTTCTAAAGCACATATAGCCGATAAGGCTAGGACGTGTGTCACATGGCAAGGGTCATTCATTCGCTCGGGTTCGATTCCCATCCTGTGTGGCAAATAATTGGTGACATGTGTGCTTGTGGCGATATATTACAACCACTGGGGCATAGTGAGGTGTGGGTGTGTGTGTGTGTGTGTGTGTGAGGTGTCCTTGGTTTAGACATACACGTCAAATTATCGGATTAGGCAAATCCATTGACTGATTGGTTGATATTGTATCATATGATGACCATTGGCAGTTATGCTACTTTTTGTTAAATTAATAAATGAGGAAAAACAATTTTTATAAAAAAAATACCGTATACAATTGTTATACCCACAGGCTTGTGTATTTTTCTGTTAAACCTGGGCTACCTGGCATTATATAAAATTGGTGCTGATGTACCTATAAAAATACTGTATGTATATGATTTATTGATCAATGTCCACCTATTTATGAGAGCATTTCAATAAAAACTCCTTATGTAAGACTAAATTACGTAATCCCCCCACAGCTCAAAAATTATTGAGTCTTACATTATGTCCAACAGCTCAGGGGCTACACAAAGATTTTATAACCCCATTAAAAAAAAATCTATTAATGGGACAAATTAATCTTATAATCTAGGTTACTGTAACCTAAATAATTGATTGTTTAAGCTAAAAGCCATCAATGTAACATAAAACAGCTACTCTAAATTACAAATGGTTTCATTTTAGTAAAGCATCTTTCACTTGCAGTTCATTGAGTAATGGTTCATCAGTAAGCGAAAGAAAATGTTAATTTTGACTTATTTCTTTTGTAAAGCATAACCGTATAATTATCCTTGTAAATATTTAAGTGTGCTCAGTGTGTAAATAAAAACACGGATTCACGCTTACCTGTGCAAGTTTAGTTGGGCCCCAGAGAGGCCTATTAGACGATGGTGTAGAAGGCTCCATAGGTTTGTCCTGGAACACATATAAAAATGCAATATAATAAAGATTTCAAAATATATTTTTTAACTTAACCCTCCAACTGGCAATGGGTAGAGACAAATTATTTTTGGCAATTTCGCAGTCATGTATTTTTTTTATCATTTATACTAAACCAATAAATTAAACATTTTGGACCATATACTTGAATTATTTGTAACAAAACAAATCATTTGAAAATTACCACAGAATAAATATTTAAAACACTGTGTATTGGCATTAGTAAAAAAAAGTTTTTGAATTTTAAAGTTTTTAGAGTAAAACTTTGTTCCATGAACCAAACAGTTTTATACGGAATTAAATATATTAACAATGTTTGGAATTTATTTTTATAAATGAAAATGTACAAAAATCAATTATAATTTTGTTTTAGAAAATTATAACACAAAAACAAAAGAATGGAAATGGCATGCTTTTGTGCTATAAATTTCAGACAAAAACCAAATAAATGTGTTCACAAGAAATTTTGTAAAAGTACAAATTTTTTAAAGACCATAAGTAAGAGTTTTCATGGAAAGTGATTTTTCCTATAAATATTTTATAAATCTATATATTTATATTAATTTTTATATATTTAAGAATGGAAAACAAACATACTAAAAGGGGCCGCCAACCTAAAAAAAATCTATATTATTTTTCAAATACATAAAACCCAAAACCAACTTTATACAATTAAATTAAATTAATTCCTCGACATGAATATATATAGTGACAAAGGCAAATAGAAATCAATAATTGTGTTATTGTGTTTTATAAAAAATGCTGCTGCACCTTTTTTACGTGGTGATAAAATCGTTTAATCACTAAGACGGAATGTTTCAAACGAGCTAATTAGTTGTAATGCCTCAAACCTAAAATTTAGTAAGTGAATCACAAGAAACAGTTTATGTACAAATATTACTAAATATGTACAAATTTAAAACTAATAATAATACGATTCAAAGTTCAAAGTAATTAAGTTACACTCCTGATATTCGTTGTTGGCAAATAGTAATTAAAGTTCAAAAAATCCAACTGAAATATATTTTAATCTCAGTAATGTTTAGTTGATTATTGTAAAATTCTGTTTTAATAAATGTTTTCTCAGATTTTTTATAAATCTGTTTGCTTCTTTTGTAATTATAGATTCAAAACAACAAATTGAAAATTGTAAAGTGTTATAACTGCAAAGTTACATATTATTTTTAAGACATTTTGGCTTATTTGATACACCATATCAACGGTGACATAACAACTTTTGTTTTTCTCAAATAAAGTCGTAGTCACTGAAAATATGTTCATTTTTGACATGTTGTGCTCAGGAAACCCATATAAAAGTATGGTTAAGCAAGATATTTCTTATCAAAAACTCAACACACCACGGTGTTTTGGCCGTATTCTGGTGTGTTTGCGCTTGCCGAGGTCTGAAAAAACTCAAACTGTTGTTTGTTGTGTTTTTGTCAATAATAATAGGCTTTACTGTGGGTACACGTCTTTGTGACGCATAGTGGCACGCTATTATATACTGTATAGTGTTGGCAACCATGAACCTTTGCAAATACTTTATGTACATGATTTGTTCAATATATGCCTATTTATAATATATATAATATATATTTTTTTATATATTTAAATAAAACCCCATTGTTAAAAGTAATTTATTAGGTCAAAAAAATCTTACAATCCAAGGTTAATGTTTGCTAACAACCATTAATGTAACATAAAAGAGATACAAATCATTACTTAAATATTTTAATTTTAGTAAAACACATTTGATCTGCAGCTCATTAGGTAAAGTTTACAGTTAGAGAAAGAAAATCTCAATAATCTGCAATACACTTATAGCTTCAAAATATTTTCTAGAAACTTAAGGAAAAACCATTATTTATCTTTTTCTCTTATTTTCTTGTTACAGCAGATCTTATAGGTATACTATTTTTTATTTTTACGTCATAGTAATACGTCTTATTGCAGTTTTTCTAATAATTTACATAAACGTATTTCATAGTCGTGTGTATAATTATCTATAGGCAGGTTTTAACTTATATTAGTTTTTACATATTAGTTTTTACTTATTATTGTGTTTAAAGTTTAAATAGTGTTACAAAAATGTATCGTTTAGTTTACATTTACTTCATAAGAGGCAAATGTTAACTAACAGTTGTGCTCTCTGGAATCGGCGTAGTTTTTGGTTTGGTAGAAACTCCATCAGAAGAGGAACTGAATGCCTATGAACTTTATGTCTTAAAATTTGTATGAAAAGTTAGTTTTAATTAATCTATTATTTCTTTTAGTAGTTTCAACAAACCCTTATCCTACACACATTTTGCCAAATCAAATCAATTTTATCCATACACATTGTTTAAATGCATATATATATTTTTTTTTTAGTAGGCCTGATACAGTTCAAGATAGGTTTTTGCTAGGTCAAATAATGTAGGACTTAACTGTAATATTTTATTATAAGATTTTGTCATTATTTTATTATTATTTTTTTATTTTATTGAACATTTTAAACATGTATAAACGAGTTCATTAAAACCGTGATGTATAAAATGTTGAAATCATTATGCAGTGTGTAAATTAAGTCTTGAAACAAATCTGTCTTTTTAAAACCGAAATAGATGGAAATATTCTGTTTGTAGCATTGATTATTATCAAAGGTTTCACAATTTTTTACACTAACAAAGTTTTTTTACCCCGCTAACAGGGTAGGGGGTATGGGGTGACTTATTTTTTCAAATATAGCAACCCCTATTGAGTGAACCCTCATTTTGAACGGCTTATCAAAAGAAACACAATGACGCAAATCTGAGGTGAATATCTTACCCCTAGCCAAAATGGCGGGTATTCCAAAATGGGTGTTTCACAAAATCAAACTTTGAAATACACACCATTTAGGCTAGGGATGAAATATCTACCTCGGGTTTGCGTGATTGTATTTATTTTGACAAACCATTCAAACTGAGGGGTCACTCGATAGGGGTTGTTATTAAAAAAATATAAATCACCCCAACCACTACCATGTTAAAGGGGTTAAAAAATATTGTTGATTTAAAAATCGTGGAACCTATGTCAACAATCAATTCAACAAACAGAATATTTCTATCTATTTTGGTTTTAAAAATACAGATTTATTTCCATATTTGTGAACTTGGTGTTTTTCATATACAGTAAATCAAATTTTGGAATACCTGCCATTTCGGCTAGGGGTGAAATATCTACCTCGGGTTTGCGTCATTGTGTTTCTTTTGACAAATCCTTAAAAATGAGGGGTCACTCAATAGGGGTCGCTATTTGAAAAAAGTCACCCCCTACCCCTTAAGCTGTTAGGGGGGTTAAACAATATTTTTGATGTAAAAAATTACGGAATACTGTGAATAATCAACGCCACAAACAGGATATTTCTATCTATTTCAGTTTAAAAAATACAGATTTGTTTCAAGACTTAATTTACACACTGTATATAAATACACATTATCAATGGGAAACTAATGTTCCAGCTGAGTTCAACCAACATATGAATTAAAGTTGTTTTTTTTTTCAAAAGAGATGGTCATTTAGGAAAGTTGGTTGAATTTTAACAGATTTATGTTTACTTGATTACTATACATGATTTGAAAACTAACTGTTCACCAATCCTGTAAAATTGTGAGCTTATATTTATAAAATTTAACCTTAACTTTTAACTCTAAATACCAAATACACATATCAAATGTTTACCTGTTGAGCCCAAGGTAATCTGAAGCTAGATGGCTGTTTGGTTAGTTGAGGTTGAGGAGAAGGCTGCAATAATTTGTAAAACTTAAATATCCAAATAAATCATATGTTTCAATCTCAAAAACTATTAGTCACTAGTCACTAAAAAGATATTAAGTAGACATGATATTAAGTGAGTAGCTGGTGAGCTAGTGACGTAATTTGGTTATGTTAGTGATCCACACCGTTACCCGTTCCAAAATCCATGATAATTACTCGCCTTTTTTAAATCCATGTATGTACATTGTTATTTCCCATATGCATTTATTTAAAATATAAGAAATTTAGTTGTATCCATATTTTCATTTAGCCCAGTCAATAAAGGTTTTGTGTCGAAACAAATTAACGACAGGCAAAACTATATACCAATCGTTAGTACCCAACTAGATATACATTTTCCCAAAAGTCCCTAAAAATCCCCCCGGTGCTTTCCCCCCCCCCCACCCCCCCTCAAAGTCAAAATTGCATGGTTTTTCTAAAACGCGTCTAGTTTACTTACGAGTTGTCCAAATTGGTAAAATAATAGCTTTTTGTTTTAAGAATGAAATTTCCTACAAAAAATAATTCCTAATCCAAGCAAAGTTTAGGCAGTTAAACATTTATTTTGGCCTAAACAAAAAGCTGCCAAAATAAATTAAAACGGGTAAACATTGTTATTTTGATATTCTTTCCTCAAAAAGTCGAACAGTAAAATAATTTGCATAAGCTTTCCTTTGAAGGTCAGAGCCTTGATTTGTATACAGCAATTGTTATAGAATCTTACTTATTGACTACAATCAATGACAAAATCACATAGTTAATTAAGTAACCTTATAGGTCTATAGAATATTTTTATATTCAACCAGCTGTTAGTTCAAACAAATTATAGTGCACTAAAACAAACTTAAAATTTTTAAGACTGCTCTAATAAAACTAAATAAGAACATATAGTATTTTACTGTGTATATTTTAAATAATCTGTCATCCCCTTACCTAATAAATAAATTATCGTATCAATTATTAAAGCATTACACATAATATTAAAATGTCAACCCTACGTATGTCAATATTATCCAAATCTTGAATTTATGTCACACAGCTGAATGTTTACAGCTGTTACGTTAAGCAAATTGTATTAAAGACTACCAAAAGCTAGTCTAGAATGTTAGAGTCAGCTGCTAGTCTTTAACAAAATTAAAACTTAATTTCTAAAAACTGAAACCCTAAACTAAAATTATGGCTTCGACATTCCCTAGTGCTCTTAATTATCTTTCTTTCGTCACAAAAATCATAAAAATCCATCAAGTGGTTGATTCAGAATCGTGAAATAAAAGAAACCCTGCCACGTTTAATATGTACGAGCTTTTACCCCTTCATAAGTCCGGGAATATAGTAGTCAACGAAAACTGGATATAATTCAGAACAGTTTTACACTCATTAAGACTAATTCACGTTTTGAAACCTTGTCACGTATTAATAAATATGATGATGATGATGATTGTTTTTCAATGTTTGTGTAGCTCAATGACGGTCACAACAATCTTTGGTGACGAGTGAAACCATAATAATGACATTATTCAATTTTTAAATATTTAAATTACTTAAATATTTTAATTTTAGTAAAACACATTTGATCTGCAGCTCATTAGGTAAAGTTTACAGTTAGAGAAAGAAAATCTCAATAATCTGCAATACACTTATAGCTTCAAAATATTTTCTAGAAACTTAAGGAAAAACCATTATTTATCTTTTTCTTTTATTTTCTTGTTACAGCAGATCTTATAGGTATACTATTTTTATTTTTACGTCATAGTAATACGTCTTATTGCAGTTTTTCTAATAATTTACATAAACGTATTTCATAGTCGTGTGTATAATTATCTATAGGCAGGTTTTAACTTATATTAGTTTTTACATATTAGTTTTTACTTATTATTGTGTTTAAAGTTTAAATAGTGTTACAAAAATGTATCGTTTAGTTTACATTTACTTCATAAGAGGCAAATGTTAACAAATGTTAACTAACAGTTGTGCTCTCTGGAATCGGCGTAGTTTTTGGTTTGGTAGAAACTCCATCAGAAGAGGAACTGAATGCCTATGAACTTTATGTCTTAAAATTTGTATGAAAAGTTAGTTTTAATTAATCTATTATTTCTTTTAGTAGTTTCAACAAACCCTTATCCTACACACATTTTGCCAAATCAAATCAATTTTATCCATACACATTGTTTAAATGCATATATATATTTTTTTTTTAGTAGGCCTGATACAGTTCAAGATAGGTTTTTGCTAGGTCAAATAATGTAGGACTTAACTGTAATATTTTATTATAAGATTTTGTCATTATTTTATTATTATTTTTTTATTTTATTGAACATTTTAAACATGTATAAACGAGTTCATTAAAACCGTGATGTATAAAATGTTGAAATCATTATGCAGTGTGTAAATTAAGTCTTGAAACAAATCTGTCTTTTTAAAACCGAAATAGATGGAAATATTCTGTTTGTAGCATTGATTATTATCAAAGGTTTCACAATTTTTTACACTAACAAAGTGTTTTTACCCCGCTAACAGGGTAGGGGGTATGGGGTGACTTATTTTTTCAAATATAGCAACCCCTATTGAGTGAACCCTCATTTTGAACGGCTTATCAAAAGAAACACAATGACGCAAATCTGAGGTGAATATCTTACCCCTAGCCAAAATGGCGGGTATTCCAAAATGGGTGTTTCACAAAATCAAACTTTGAAATACACACCATTTAGGCTAGGGATGAAATATCTACCTCGGGTTTGCGTGATTGTATTTATTTTGACAAACCATTCAAACTGAGGGGTCACTCGATAGGGGTTGTTATTAAAAAAATATAAATCACCCCAACCACTACCATGTTAAAGGGGTTAAAAAATATTGTTGATTTAAAAATCGTGGAACCTATGTCAACAATCAATTCAACAAACAGAATATTTCTATCTAATTTGGTTTTAAAAATACAGATTTATTTCCATATTTGTGAACTTGGTGTTTTTCATATACAGTAAATCAAATTTTGGAATACCTGCCATTTCGGCTAGGGGTGAAATATCTACCTCGGGTTTGCGTCATTGTGTTTCTTTTGACAAATCCTTAAAAATGAGGGGTCACTCAATAGGGGTCGCTATTTGAAAAAAGTCACCCCATACCCCTTACCCTGTTAGGGGGGTTAAACAATATTTTTGATGTCAAAAATTACGGAATACTGTTAATAATCAACGCCCCAAACAGGATATTTCTATCTATTTCAGTTTAAAAAATACAGATTTGTTTCAAGACTTAATTTACACACTGTATATAAATACACATTATCAATGGGAAACTAATGTTCCAGCTGAGTTCAACCAACATATGAATTAAAGTTGTTTTTTTTTCAAAAGAGATGGTCATTTAGGAAAGTTGGTTGAATTTTAACAGATTTATGTTTACTTGATTACTATACATGATTTGAAAACTAACTGTTCACCAATCCTGTAAAATTGTGAGCTTATATTTATAAAATTTAAGCTTAACTTTTAACTCTAAATACCAAATACACATATCAAATGTTTACCTGTTGAGCCCAAGGGAATCTGAAGCTAGATGGCTGTTTGGTTAGTTGAGGTTGAGGAGAAGGCTGCAATAATTTGTAAAACTTAAATATCCAAATAAATCATATGTTTCAATCTCAAAAACTATTAGTCACTAGTCACTAAAAAGATATTAAGTAGACATGATATTAAGTGAGTAGCTGGTGAGCTAGTGACGTAATTTGTTTATGTTAGTGATCCACACCGTTACCCGTTCCAAAATCCATGATAATTACTCGCCTTTTTTAAATCCATGTATGTACATTGTTATTTCCCATATGCATTTATTTAAAATATAAGAAATTTAGTTGTATCCATATTTTCATTTAGCCCAGTCAATAAAGGTTTTGTGTCGAAACAAATTAACGACAGGCAAAACTATATACCAATCGTTAGTACCCAACTAGATATACATTTTCCCAAAAGTCCCTAAAAATCCCCCCGGTGCTTTCCCCCCCCCACCCCCCCTCAAAGTCAAAATTGCATGGTTTTTCTAAAACGCGTCTAGTTTACTTACGAGTTGTCCAAATTGGTAAAATAATAGCTTTTTGTTTTAAGAATGAAATTTCCTACAAAAAATATTTCCTAATCCAAGCAAAGTTTAGGCAGTTAAACATTTATTTTGGCCTAAACAAAAAGCTGCCAAAATAAATTAAAACGGGTAAACATTGTTATTTTGATATTCTTTCCTCAAAAAGTCGAACAGTAAAATAATTTGCATAAGCTTTCCTTTGAAGGTCAGAGCCTTGATTTGTATACAGCAATTGTTATAGAATCTTACTTATTGACTACAATCAATGACAAAATCACATAGTTAATTAAGTAACCTTATAGGTCTATAGAATATTTTTATATTCAACCAGCTGTTAGTTCAAACAAATTATAGTGCACTAAAACAAACTTAAAATTTTTAAGACTGCTCTAATAAAAATAAATAAGAACATATAGTATTTTACTGTGTATATTTTAAATAATCTGTCATCCCCTTACCTAATAAATAAATTATCGTATCAATTATTAAAGCATTACACATAATATTAAAATTTCAACCCTACGTATGTCAATATTATCCAAATCTTGAATTTATGTCACACAGCTGAATGTTTACAGCTGTTACGTTAAGCAAATTGTATTAAAGACTACCAAAAGCTAGTCTAGAATGTTAGAGTCAGCTGCTAGTCTTTAACAAAATTAAAACTTAATTTCTAAAAACTGAAACCCTAAACTAAAATTATGGCTTCGACATTCCCTAGTGCTCTTAATTATCTTTCTTTCGTCACAAAAATCATAAAAATCCATCAAGTGGTTGATTCAGAATCGTGAAATAAAAGAAACCCTGCCACGTTTAATATGTACGAGCTTTTTCCCCTTCATAAGTCCGGAAATATAGTAGTCAACGAAAACTGGATATAATTCAGAACAGTTTTACACTCATTAAGACTAATTCACGTTTTGAAACCTTGTCACGTATTAATAAATATGATGATGATGATGATTGTTTTTCAATGTTTGTGTAGCTCAATGACGGTCACAACAATCTTTGGTGACGAGTGAAACCATAATAATGACATTATTCAATCTGATATCAACCTACCCTACTTGCGTAACACAATGCATGCTGCACAGCTCAAGAAATTGTTTTTACTTTTTTAACAGCAACAACAAGAACAGTTTCAACAATTTATTCTCTCACATTTTCATTCTTACAAATATTGCTGCATTTAAAATTTCAAACCCCTACGTGAAACTTTTTATAATTATCTAGAGCGCTTTGAAAACTATTATACTGTGAAAGGTCAAACACAAAAGGAAAGTATTGCTCAACTTTTTGTATATTGTGTATATTTTGTGTATTTACTGGGTCAGTAAATTCTACACATGTACCTACACAGTACATTTTCAGGCCCATAGTAACTAATTAAAAACCTATCTTACGATAATCTTATCAACGTGACTCTGTTTCTGATTAAAATGCTTGTTCCTAAGAAAATATTAGTTGTTGCTCAACATTAATTTTTAAACATTTATCAATGGAATGGTCAGTCGATTGCGTATTTTCAAGAAAAAAAAGTATTTTTTAATTTTTTTTTATATGTTGGTACTCACAGGTGTTGTCCCTCGCGAGTATGTAGAGTATATAGGCATGGCGTAAGAATCTGTTCCCCCATAGCCCGTTGAAGTGGAATGCTGTAAGACAATACTATGATTAAGACTACTTTGAAATGTGGAACCTGTCCAGTACAGTATCAAACTTGCTTAGGGGAATGTTTATAGAACCAAAGTAAAATGTTAATTTAAAAAACAACACGTGCTCCCATATAATATAGTTATAAATTGTTTTCCCTTTTTGGATCGCCATGTAATGCGGTGAAAAGTTCGGATTGGGGACACAACAAATTATATTAACGTAGTTTTTCGTGAATACGTGATAGTTTTGTCTCACCCAATATCAGTCATATATTAAATTTGTTGGATAACCTAGCCTACAATGTAGACAGCTGCCACAAAGTACTGCACTTTAAAAGTAGTTTTTAAAGTCCAGGACTTTAATGAGAACTTATAATAAGTATCATTTCGAGTTTATCAGCTCAGAGTATTGATTACAACAATGCTAATAACTAAAATATTATATTCCCTTTAGAAAGTTAATATTATTATATTACCTTAAACCTACCTTATAACCTTATTACCTTTTATTGACCTTATATTTTACGTCATAACCCCAATACTAATATCATTCAGGTACCTACATTGCAAATTTGAGACCATTGTTAACTTAAACAATTAGGTTAATTGTAAACAAAAGTAAATTTGAATTGATAAAATAAAAGGATTACCTTATCCAACCACAGTTGCTAGTATGACAACTAGTTTCGTTCCTTAGAACTTCGTCAGGTCATTGTATGCAACCACATCTATGTATTAATACATTGTGGTATGTCAAAAGATGCATTAAAATACTGTCAAAATCACAATATTCCAAACTATATAGTCATGTTGATCAAATGATTAAAATGGAATAAAAATTGATAAATTTGGTTAAAACTGTAAAGGCTGGCCAGTAATGTCTTATCACTGTCACAACAAAATTCGTAAATAATATAAATTTGAATTTTTTCCCACCCTTTCTTAATCTAAGAATTTCGCTTTTGAGATCTCGTTATGTATATAAGATGATTTTCTACAAACAAATTGTATGATGTTAGGCTACGCTGCTCTTGAACTCTTTTAATCAAATAATCATCTTTGAATGAAGGAACTCCAATTCAGGTATATTCGAACCTTAGGAGCCCTATTATTTTTCTTTTATGATTTATTTATCAATTAAAGTTGTAAAGGTCAGTTTGCATGGATAATGTATTTAATTAGCATGTGATGGGAAAGACAACTATATTAATTTAACTTACTATTGTAACTGACTGTATTTTCAAGAAAATCTAAGAATTTATTTATATATATGTTGGTACTCACAGGCAAATTCGAAGGGGTCCGTGACGGGTATGAAGTTGGGACGTCTGAGCCTCTATTCCCAAAACCAAATGAAGTGGAAAGCTGTAAGACTATGCATTTGAAATATGTTCATATGTTCACAGGTTAATTGTAAAAAAAGTAAATTTGAATTGATCAAATAAAAGGATTACCTTATCCATCTTTTACTATCTTTGCATTGTATGCAACCACATCATCAACGTATTAATACATTGTGGTATGTCAAAAGATGCATTAAAATACTGTCAAAATAACAATATTCCAAACTATATAGTCATGTTAATAAAATGATCTAAATGGAATACAAATTTATAAAAGTGGTTAAAACTGTAAATGCTGGCCAGCAATGTTTTATCACTGTCACACAATAAATAATAAAAATTTGATTTTTCCCAATCTTTTAATAATTGTAAGAATTTTTCCTTTGGGATCTCTTTATGTATATAAGATCTTAAACATATTTTATAGCTTTTGGAAGCTTGTACATAGTTATAGAGATAATATTTACAGACTGAGACTAAGAAATCCACGAAATATGACGGCACCAAAACCCAGTTTAACATTCTATACTCATACATTTAATTTCATACCACCACGCATTTTTAATAAGTGACCAATTCATGTTAAAGATGAGACCGATAAAAATTAATTTTTTAATATGTAAGGGGATGGCTGTCTCATCAAATTGTAGAGGAGTTGAAAAATGTTATGAGTTAGTGATGTTTAGGCATTAAGCGTAACAACAACTTTTTTTTGTATTTTCAACAAAGAAATTGTATGATGTTAGGCTAACTCTTTTAAATCAACTAATCATCTTTGAATGAAGGAACCCCAATTCAGGTATATTCATACCTTAGGGACCCTATTATTTTTCTTGTATGATTTGTTAATCAATTTAAGTCAGCCTGCATGGATAATGTATTTAATTTGCATGTCATGTGACAGACAGCTATATCAATTAGGGCCCTATTACACTTGGTCACCAGGCGACGTCACCGGTTATTGTACGGGCAGCCAGCCTCAACACCAGAGAAGTCACCAGGAGTGAGACCAACCCCCAAAGTTCCTCCACTCCAGTGTCTACATATATTCAGCGCTGTCACCTCGTTGAAGGACAAAGTGCTTTGTTAATCCGCGTCTTATGTTCCATTAAATTACTCAGTTTAAGTTATATAGTTATAGTTAAGTTATATAGTTATTTCAGTTATTATACTCTTCAGTTTAAAAAATGCCTAGTGATAAAAAATTTGTGAATAAGGGGGGAAGAGATGGAGGGAAGGAAAAAGGGGAAGACGACTCAGTGAAAGAAAGCCAGTCTAGTGTAAAATGTAGTAGTGAAAAAGATACTAAGATAGGTAAAAACCAAGAGGATTGAGTGCAAAGCTCGTCTCCTCCTTTTCCTCAACAAAAGAGCAATAAGTAGCATTTCTTCATATTTTTCCGTCATTACGTCCACTCACTACTGGCATTAAACAATCCGAACCTGCAGAACACAAAAATACAGTGGTGACGCAACCGCGGTGACTGTGTGTAATATGTCCCATTTGATTCAATACCCAGCGGCAAATCTTGGTCACCAGTGGTTACTCGTCTGGTCACGGGGCAGAGTCACCGGTCAGTCACCAAAGGCTGGTGACGCAACCGGTGACCCTAGTGTAATAGGCGCCGTAAGAACCAGTGCCCACCAACCAGTCAGGTCACCGGTGACGCCACCGGTGACGTGGCCTAGTGACCTAGTATAATAGGGCCCTTATACTTACTAAAAAGGTCACCAGTGGCCTCAACGGTTGGTGGGCACTGGTTCTTATGGCGCCTATTACACTAGGGTCACCGGTTGCGTCACCAGCCTTTGGTAACTCACTGGTGACTCTGCCCCGTGACCAGACGAGTAACCACTGGTGACCAGGATTTGTCGCTGGGTATTGAATCAGATGGCAAATATTACACACAGTCGCCGCTGTTGCGTCACCACTGTATTTTTGTGTTCTGCAAGTTCAGATTGTTGCCAGTGTAGTGAGTGGACGTAATGTCGGAAAAATATGAAAAAATGCTATTTCTTTTGTTCAGGAAAAGGAGGAGACGAGCAAGGAAAATGTAGTGGTGTCTTTTTCACCACTACATTTAATACTAGACTGGCTTCCTTTCACTGAGTCGTCTTCCCATTTTCCTTTCCCTGCATCTCTTCTCCGTTTGTTTGTTGTGAATTAATGTTTGTTCGATTTAAACTGAAGAGGTAAGACGTGGATAACAGAGCACGTTGTCCTTCAACGAGGTGAGAGCGCTGAATGTATGTAGACACTGGAGTGGAGGAACTTTGGGGGTTAGTCTCACTCCCTGGTGACTTCTGGTGTTGAAACTGGCTGCCCGGAAAGTAACCGGCGACGTCACCGATTATACCAAGTTATTTGTAGCTAATTGTATTTTCAAGAAAATAAAAGAATTTATTTATATATATGTTGGTACTTACAAGCGGATTGTAAGGGGTCCCTATTGGGTATGCTGAGGTCGCTGGCGGGTATGTTGTAGCCGTGTTGGCTGAGCCTCCATTCAGAAGACCAGATAGAACGGAAGACTGTAAGAGTATGCATTTGAAATATGTTCATTTTTACACCATTTTACATTGAACCTGACATAACAAAATAAAACCAATTTTTTCAGAAATAAGACACTCTGGTGTTAGGTTCCTGCAAAGCAACGCAATGGCCATATAGTTAAATGGTCATATACTTTAATATTGATATTGTACAGTGTGTCCAGTAAGACCATTGCCAAACTGTCCAGTACAGTATCAAACTTACTTAGGGGAGTGTAACCAAACTAAAAAGTAAGTTAAAACACGTTTTCCCATATAACATGGTTATAAATTGTTTCCCCTTCTTGGATCGCCATAAAATGCGGTGAAAAGTTCGGATTGGGGACACAACAAATTATATTACCGTAGGTTTTTGGATAGGAGTGTTTCATATTCCTTTCGAAGAATTAAAAGAAGGTGGTAACAAAGTTTGTTAATTACTTTTGTATGTTTTAAATCTCATTTTACAAACTGGAAAGGAATATGTGATGTTTTCACTTAGTGATTACCACTCTAATAACCAGTTCACGAGTAGCGCTAAATAAAAAAATATATTTTATTTGGTTGATCTCATGGTAGCAGAATCAGATTATTATTTATTTATACAAAATATAAAGTTATCAACTTGAATTAGGTGAACACACAAGAAAAGGTCATAATAGACTAAACGTAATTTATATTGAAAAATAAAAAAAGGTAAAGCAAGTTTTTTTTTATACTTATGATTATAAATATATGTATGGATATCTTCTAATATATAAAATTCTCGTGTCACAGTGTTTGTCTGCAAACTCCTCCGGAACGACTTCACCGATCGTTATGAAATTTGGTGTGTAAATTCTGTAGGTATGCGAATCGGACGTAAACTATTTCCCGTTTCGAAATTCTTAAAAGGGCTCCGCCCCAGTGGCTCTGGAGTTTCCCATGTTAACCTTATGAGAAATGGAATTAATGAATCTTAACAGCTGTTTCAATTAAACAAGTTGGTTCTGTTCTATGATGTTCAATAGCATTAAAGTTACAAGGATTACCAACAGGGTGCAGCACTATTATTTCTTTTACATTTATGACAACAGCTAATTTGCAACCAAAAGGTGAGTGAGCGTAGCGAATGAACTTCAACCAGGACGTGATTGAGCGATGCGAACGAGATCATCTTGAAAATTAAACGTAACGGTACTTTCTTTCCATCGGTCTGTCTTAGGGGAAACCTATAACTTAGGCGATACGAAGTTCGCCGGGTCAGCTAGTAATATTATAATATTATAAATATGTATGTGAAATATTAATTATATTGAGAAATACTGTAGTACCATAACTGTACTATATCATACTTTTGAAAAATATACAAACAGGTTCACTAGCCACTAATCCAGTAATCTAGCTGCTTGGAGGTCAAGAATTGTTTTTTATAGGCATGCACTGTGGATGCGATCTTCCCTGGCGTGGATTACCGTAGTGAGTACTACGACTATCCGCAGTATTATCCTGATAATTAGACCAATTCGATAACTACAAGGAAAAAAATTTGTTCGCAGTCCACTATAAACTGTAGGTCGCTTAGTTGCCATTGGCTGTATGGGATATTAATTAACGCATGTCTTCAAATCTGTAATGTGGAATTTAAATACTTTGATATCAATTTTTTTGTTGTTTCTATTCACATTATCATCGTGAAACTAATGTTCCATCACAGCCATGTTAGATACACGACGCAATTGCAGAAAGAAAAACACATTCATAAACACATATGTTTACTAGGTTGTCTTTAATTTTTATTTCTTTCTTTTTAGAATGGGGCCCATAATCAACATGGATTAGTGTAATGAAGCCTACTAAATAGTAGGGTTAGTTTAGTTTGTGTAGCCATAGTTTTTAACTTGTGGTCAACATTATTGTAACTTATTGTATAACAAAGCTTCAATATATGATTACAAACAAATTTGTTTTAGGCTTATATTTACTAATCATACAATCCACTTTCGACTCTTGTTCTATCTCAGAATGGTTACCTATTGCCTAGTAAGAACAGTACCAAACTCAGGGCAGTGGTTCTTGGATTAAAATAAATATAAAATTATTAAAACACAGTTTCCCCAAATAAAAACTTCATAACCTTATTAGCCTATACAACGTTCACCAAATATCCACTATTTAGTATTTTCCTTGCAAAAATGAATGCCTTTGTTACTGTGTGGGCGTCAGTCAAGAGTATAAATTTAAAGTGCTTTATTAAAAACGTACAGTATATTAAAATATTGTGGCATTAATAAAGTTAAATAAACATTTATTTTAACTGTCTGTGACTAAACCTTTTCAAGAATGAATTGAAATTACAAAATGCAAATGAACTTTAAAATGTAATATAAACATGTTTTGTTGCTTAATAGGTAATTTCTCCCGTAGCTCCAACAAACATGTATCCGACGGTTTTAATCAATTTTGTCTTTTTTAACATGGAAACTTTGTACTTACATGTGTATAAGTTTCGAGTACACTGATGGGGTTAAAAATCGATATTTGCCAGGTAAAGTTATGTAAGCGTACAGCTGTACTTCTATACAACATATTTTAACCCTGTATAAACTAATTCGTTTAATATTTAATGATAAATTTGAATAAATAGCAATTTTAGGATTTTTAATCCGGTGTCTATTTGTATTATCAATGTAAAAATGGTTCAGCACAATTCAACTAATAATAAACTATATACATAGTGCAATAACAGTTCAAGGACAACACTGTCATAAGAAATATAATTTTTACCAGGTTAACAACAACACTTAAGATAACTTAACACTTAAGATCTTAAGATCTTAAGATTTGTTTAGTTTTTTTTATTATAACATAAATCTTAATGTTGCTATAACTACTCGATACAAATCTAAGTAAGATTAGTTGACTTTTACCTGTGGAAATGTACGAACACTGGATAATACGCGAATTGGATATCCAGCCACGCTCTGCAATAAAATTTAAACTTAATTATCCGCATAAGTAATGAAACCTCTATCTGTCAAATAGTTATACACTTGATACTAGTCACTAGTCAAAAGTCCTATGTCCTCTTATCCCTTCGTCTTCGTTATCTACATTTCTAAAAATGTTGTAGCGTCCTATTAGAAACATACAATGGGAGACTGGGATCCGGTAGAGTCCAGGCCAAGTGCAGTTAATCTGTACACAACACTTTTTTGGGTTAGGTTTAATCAAGGCATTGAACTAAATTGGAAATGTTGCACCAGCTGATCGTAGTTGTAGTGTCTTTAAGAGTTGCCAAATTATTTTCATGCGTACACTGATTACGTGCCTAATGAAAACATGCTGTTTTGTGTTGTTTAGTTGGAATACTGGAGTGTGGCAAAAAACGAGTGTGGCAAAAGTAAAAAGAGTGCGGTAAAAGTAAGGAAATGCAGCAATTAGCAAACTTTCTGTACTATGATCAGTGCAAGGAAGCCCACGTTGTCAGGTGATTGTAGGAAAAAGTCTTTGTTATAAATTAACTTTCATGTTTCATTCTCTTTTTCCTTGTTCATGAAAAAATACTCTTGTCTAAAGTTCTGCAAATTTATTTTAACTGTTTTCTATGATTCAAGACAATGCTAGATTTTGACATATTAGTCACTTGGAATTAATTTAAAAAGTATGTTTCCTGAGAAAATATATTTCTGAGGAAGAACCAAAGAATCCTTTTCAAACAAATGTTCTTCCAAGTTGGTTTTTGATATTTTTTTGTAGAAAATATGACATAGTAGAGTATATTAAGAACAGTACAGCAGTACATAATAATGGGCCGCGAGAGCATTGAATAAATTCCCAGGAATCAGGTAGATTTTCTCTACTTATCAGTCGAGTGAGCTATTAGTCTGGTTGGATAGTATTTCAGTATTGTAGAAAACTTTAACCAAATTCCATTGTGATTATTCTCAACTAGAAATGTAATAGTTGCTCTGATTTAGTATAAACTAAAATCACAAATACTAAAACACTATATTAAGTAATTTAAATAAAGTGTTTTCAATTTGTGCAAAATTAGATATGGTAGACTATTAAGAGTTGTTCAAGTATTCGTGTAGTATTACTTTTTTATATAAATCTCAAACTTGTTTTCAATTAAATTCTTATTAAGTTAAAGGCTTAAAATATTTCTCTAAACTTTAAAATTTATTTTGCAGTGATAATTTATGTGTAACTAATGTGAATTATGATAATACTGTATTCTTGTATCGACTCATGATTTATTATTGTATACTTAGAATTCTTCATGACTAAGAAATTTATATACAAATTAAATCTGCTTTTGACTAAAATAGTATTGTAAGAGTTTGTTCTCCAAAATTTCGTGGCTGGTGAATGTCGACTTCTCTCTGGAGTGGCTCCTCGACCCAATCCCTAACTAACTTGTGACTTGGACGTATTCGTATGGATTGGTCCGCACCGGATAGGATGATAATTTGAACGGATGAGGTTTCTTAGCCACTGAAGGAATAAAACAAAAAGAAATTGATCCCGGGTCTAGGTGTTGCTTAGAGAGTTACGGTAATAAATCATTTCTTAAATGATAAATGCTTGGTTTGAAGTTCATTTTTGGCGATGGTGGGCTTATAGTGTGTCTAGAGATTATTATGGAAGATTTTTCATAATGCCTAGAAAAATATCTCCCTCACTGCAAACCTACAGAGTAAGCGAACTACCATAAGGTGTAATTGGATTTTGACTCAAATAGTTTTTTTAATTCTGTCATATCAAACCCTTTTTATCAAAAATTAGATTTAACGAGTACTCAGGTTTGCTGCAACAAGAAAGGAAACAAGTGTTTTTATAATAAAATGTTAATAGTATGGCATAGAATAAATTAATTGACAAAATTTGATTCAATTGTATAAAAAAAAAACAAGTAAACTAAAAAAGTTATTTTTTTATCAATAGAATTAACATAGATATTTCAACTTTTGTTTTTAAATTGGGGACAACCTGACTGTAATTCTAAGTTATACACAATTTTTTAAACAAACTTGTTGCTAATCTAATAATACGTGTAACCTATCTTAATTTACTATTGATAAAATAAACTATTGACTCTAAATACAGGATACATATTTTAAGAAGAGTAGTAGTTGACGTTTACCTGGCCATATGAAAATACTTTGCGAATCGGGAGTGTGCCAAAACCAATCCAGCCCTGCAATAAGTATTTTTTTACAAAACTACCAACATAAATAATAAACCCAGTATCTTCCAAACTGTAAGTTTTAGTTTTAGTCAATGGCTATTTCTGAAGCTGTGACACTATCACTTTCACGCCTCCTTACCTCTTGGCTAAAGCCATCACCGACCCAGCGTCTCCTGTTAGTTGCTACATCTCCCGATCTTCCCCTTACCTCACGTCTCCTACCTCAGTCCCAAGTCACCTTCCCCGACCCAGCGTCTCCTTCCGCTAAGCTGCGTGAACTTTCACAACAAACATGTACGTGTGTACGCCAAAATAGGAAAAAAACTTTCGTTGAACGTTCGGTGAACATTATTTAAGCTGTTCGACGGACAAAATATGCTGTTTACTCTAAACTCAGTTTTTTAGAGTTTTCAAGTGAAGATGGATTTGCGTAAGCACTGCGTAGGCGTCGGCTTTTACTTGCTTGTACTGTTGTTTATGCTGTATATTACATAATCAGCTTTCGGTTGCCTATGAATATCGAAGTTAAGTAATGTCGGTGACGACAACCAAAACCAGTTCAATCAAAAGAAGACATTTGGAGGGTGAGGGGGTCTAAGGGTCAATGATTTTTAGTCAGATGATTTTTTTGGTCTTATCAAAGTCTCGGCCTCTTCTATGGCAATGGAGTGCAGTAAAACAAGAATATGACTCTTGAATTCCTGTAATGAGGGTAAACTAAAAACGTGTTGAATATCATATTTTTGAATTTAATTTCGACAGAGGATCTGAGCAACATAAAAACAGCAGTTGGTAGTTAGAACTGATTTATGTAGCTGAGGAACAGATATTCTAACATTGTGGGAGTATCTTGTGAAGTGTTGATGTGTGACTGCTGTAAGAATCGTGTTTGAGTTTTTGAATGTGTGATTAAGAAGAAACTGGATTAAAATATGTCTTACCGGTAGTATTCCCGTCTCACGGAATAGAGCGTCAGTGGAGTACCTTTTATTTTTTTCTAAAAGCAACTTTAAAAATTGATCTTTGGATTACATTCAAGGGTTCCAAGGTGGTGTGATAGCATGCTCCCCAGCAGATAATACCAAATTAAATCAAGGATTGCACATAAGCGAAATAAGCTCGCTTTACGTCATCCTCGTCTAAAATTTCACTCAATTGGTTAAAAGCATAGATATATTTACGAATCTTTTTCTTCAAGAAATCTACATGCTCTGTCCACTTCATTCGATAGTCAAAATAAACACCCAAATATTTATAATAATCCACCCTTTCAATGTATTCACAATCACAAGATAAACTGTTATGGTTGCCGCAGCAATGAATCTTCAAATTGTCTAGACTATAATCAGTGCTGATACTGAGTGATATGGGAAGAAATTTAGTCATGGTTACATTAAGTGAGAGCACATTTTGATCTAACCATTTCTTTAGAAGTAAGAGGTCACCAAGAGCTTTGGACCTGACATCCTCCCATGATCAACTCTTTATCAAAACTAATGTGTCGTCGGCAAATAAAAACAGTTCATCATTTAGGTTGAATTTAGAAATGTTGTTTATATAAATTAGAAAAAGTATAGGCCCCAGAGTACTTCCCTGAATAACCCCATAATCAATTGAATTTGCATCACTATTCACACCACAGATGGAAACCACTTGATGTCTGTGAGATAAATAGTTTCTAAACCATGTGAGAGCAGTGCCTCTGACACCGATCTGTTCCAATTTTGTTAGCAATAACTTTCTGTCAATTGAGTCGAATGGTTTTTTTTATCTAAAAACATTAACATAGATCGATTGTTATTTATGATTGAGTTATTTATAGATTTACAAACTTCAAAAAGTGCATCAGAGTTGTTTTTATCTTTTCTGAACCCAAATTGTGAATTAGATAGTATATTGTTTGTTACTTTGAAGGTACTCCACCAGCTGTTCCTTAACAATACGCTTCAAAACCTTGGAAAATAATTAGACCACTGTCTAGGTGCTCTTGACGGTAAACACTGTTGCAGTCACTATCGTATATTAGATATACTTTTCACGCAAAAACACGCTGCAAGGGACCGCAACAAGGGCTGTTCTCTCCGAACTGCACAAAAGTTCGCTCATATAAAGAACACGTTGGCTGAACAAAAACACACCGTACGTCGATCCGTCTATACTTAACGGACATCGAACCTTCGCTGGCGATCAGGGAAATGTTAGCGAACGTTGTTCAGCGAACATTGTTCGTCAAGTGTGGACGCACCTCTACATACCCTGAACTCTCCCTTGTCTCCTTCCAATACCCCACGTCGGCTTCCGCTGCCCCACGTCACCTTCCACTGCTCCACATCGCCTTCCCCGACCAAGCGTCTCCTTCCGCTACATTTCCCGACCTTCCCCTGACCTCACGTCTCCTTCCAATACCCCACGTCACATTCCGACACAAGTGCCAGAGCAATCTAATAATCCGACTTCAGTGCTAGAGCAATCTACGCATCCGATCCCCAGTGCTAGAGCAATCAAAGCATCCGATCCCCAGTGCTAGAGCAATCAAAGCATCCGATCCCCAGTGCTAGAGCAATCTAACCATCCGATCCCCAGTGCTAGAGCAATCTGAGCCTCCGACTCCAATGCTAGAGCAATCTTTGCATCCGACTCCAATGCTAGAGAAATATTAGCATCCGATCCCAGTGATTGAGCAATCTTAGCATCCGATCCCCAGTGCTAGAGCAATCAAAGAATCCGATCCCCAGTGCTAGAGCATTCTTACCATCCGATCCCCAGTGCTAGAGCAATCTGAGCCTCCGACTCCAATGCTAGAGCAATCTTTTCATCCGACTCCAATGCTAGAGAAATATTAGCATCCGATCCCAGTGATTGAGCAATCTTAGCATCCGATCCCCAGTGCTAGAGCAATCAAAGAATCCGATCCCCAGTGCTAGAGCAATCAAACCATCCGATCCCCAGTGCTAGAGCAATCAAAGAATCCGATCCCCAGAGCTAGAGCAATCTAACCATCTGATCCCCAGTGCTAGAGCAATTTACGCATCCGATCCCCAGTGCTAGAGCAATCTAACCATCCGATCCCCAGTGCTAGAGCAATCTAACCATCCGATCCCCAGTGCTAGAGCAATCTTTGCATCCGACTCCAATGCTAGAGAAATATTAGCATCCGATCCCAGTGATTGAGCAATCTTAGCATCCGATCCCTAGTGCTAGAGCAATCAAAGAATCCAATCCCCAGTGCTAGAGCAATCTAACCATCTGATCCCCAGTGCTAGAGCAATCTAACCATCTGATCCCCAGTGCTAGAGCAATCTACGCATCCGATCCCCAGTGCTAGAGCAATCTAACCATCCGATCCCCAGTGCTAGAGCAATCTTTGCATCCGACTCCAATGCTAGAGAAATATTAGCATCCGATCCCAGTGATTGAGCAATCTTAGCATCCGATCCCCAGTGCTAGAGCAATTAAAGAATCCGATCCCCAGTGCTAGAGCAATCTAACCATCTGATCCCCAGTGCTAGAGCAATCTAACCATCTGATCCCCAGTGCTAGAGCAATCTACGCATCCGATCCCCAGTGCTAGAGCAATCTAACCATCTGATCCCCAGTGCTAGAGCAATCTAACCATCTGATCCCCAGTGCTAGAGCAATCTACGCATCCGATCCCCAGTGCTAGAGCAATCTAACCACAGACAATATATCTAACCATCCGATCCCCAGTGCTAGAGCAATCTTAGCATCCGACCCTAGTGCTAGAGCAACCTTTGCATCCGACTCCACTGCTAGAGCAATCTTTGCATCCGACTCCAATGCTAGAGAAATATTAGCATCCGATCCCAGTGATTGAGCAATCTTAGCATCCGATCCCCAGTGCTAGAGCAATCAAAGAATCCGATCCCCAGTGCTAGAGCAATCTAACCATCTGATCCCCAGTGCTAGAGCAATCTAACCATCTGATCCCCAGTGCTAGAGCAATCTAACCATCTGATCCCCAGTGCTAGAGCAATCTAACCATCTGATCCCCAGTGCTAGAGCAATCTAACCATCTGATCCCCAGTGCTAGAGCAATCTAACCATCTGATCCCCAGTGCTAGAGCAATCTACGCATCCGATCCCCAGTGCTAGAGCAATCTAACCACAGACAATATATCTAACCATCCGATCCCCAGTGCTAGAGCAATCTTAGCATCCGACCCTAGTGCTAGAGCAACCTTTGCATCCGACTCCACTGCTAGAGCAATCTACGCATCTTTTCCCAGTGCTAGATTAGTTTTAGCATAGACTAACCAACACAAGTAGACTTCTCATCCCATTGTTAATTTTGAAGCTCGTTTTTCATGTCTAGTTCATGTACGCCACACTGGGCGCTAGTGTCAACGAAATTTTGTTTCTATTATTTTAGGGTTAATTTCTTGATTTGTGCTTTACTGTTTGGTTAAATAATTAGGGGACAATTTATTGTTTATGATTAGATCGTATTATTTGGTTAAACGAGGTTTTAAATGACTGTATTAACGGGAAACAAATTGTAAACAAAACACGACCTCTACATAAACCGTACATGAACTAACAATAAAATTGTCTTCAGCTGTTCCATTAGGATGAGAAATCTACTAAGGGAGTATGTTTTTTCTATGGTTTTAGCTATTAATTTGTTTCTTTACTGCAGTACTTGAGCAATCCGAGCGATCTCTACCTCCCACTGTCTGTAATGATACTGGCATATTTGAAGTCTCAGGACTTAAAGCCACGTATCTGAGTATATTCCTTTTACTTTCCATAGATCCTTGGAATATTCAACCTAGCGACGACCTTTTTATCCGTAGCACCTTTTGAGACGACTCACGTGAAGGTACATCACAACCTAATTAAAGTGAATAGGTAAACAAAATCATAAAACAAAGTGTACTGTAGAGAAGCTACAAATCAAGAAGTTGATATTGGTTTATTTATGTCAAAACATAAATAAATAAAAACGATTGTTCACCACACTATGATGTTTTTAGCTGTTTTACATACGT